TCACCAAAATACTAGCCAATAGGATCCAACAGTACATTAAAAGGATTATTCACCATGACCAAGTGGGATTTATCCCTGGGCTGCAAGGTTGGTTCAACATCCGCAAATCAATGTGATACAATACATTAACAAAAGAAAGAACAAGAATCATATGATCCTCTCAATAGATGCAGAAAAAGCTTTTGACAAAGTACAGCATCCTTTCTTGATCAAAACTCGTCAGAGTATAGGGATCGAGGGTACATACCTCAATATCATAAAAGCCATCTATGAAAAACCTACAGCAAATATTATTCTCAATGGGGAAAAACTGAGAGCTTTCCCCCTAAGGTCAGGAACGCGGCAGGGATGTCCACTATCACCACTGCTATTCAACATAGTATTGGAAGTCCTAGCCACAGCAATCAGACAACAAAAAGAAATCAAAGGCACCCAAATTGGCAAAGAAGAAGTCAAACTCTCACTCTTTGCAGATGATATGATACTTTATGTGGAAAACCCAAAAGACTCCACCTCAAAACTGCTAGAACTCATACAGGAATTCAGTAAAGTGGCAGGATATAAAATCAATGCACAGAAGTCAGTGGCATTCCTATACACCAACAACAAGACAGAAGAAAGAGAAATTAAGGAGTCGATCCCATTTACAATTGCACCCAAAACCGTAAGATACCTAGGAATAAATCTAACCAAAGAGACAAAGGATCTGTACTCAGAAAACTATAAAATACTCATGAAAGAAATTGAGGAAGACACAAAGAAATGGAAAAACGTTCCATGCTCATGGATTGGAAGAACAAATATTGTGAAGATGTCAATGCTACCTAGAGCAATCTACACATTCAATGCAATCCCCATCAAAATACCATCCACTTTTTTCAAAGAAATGGAACAAATAATCCTAAAATTTGTATGGAACCAGAAAAGACCCCGCATAGCCAGAGGAATATTGAAAAAGAAAAGCAAAGCCGGCGGCATCACAATTCCGGACTTCAAGCTCTATTACAAAGCTGTCATCATCAAGACAGCATGGTACTGGCACAAAAACAGACACATAGATCAATGGAACAGAATAGAGAGCCCAGAAATGGACCCTCAACTCTATGGTCAACTGATCTTCGACAAAGCAGGAAAGAATGTCCAATGGAACAAAGACAGTCTCTTCAACAAATGGTGTTGGGAAAATTGGATAGCCACATGCAGAAGAATGAAACTGGACCATTTCCTTACACCACACACAAAAATAGACTGCAAATGGTTGAAAGACCTCAATGTGAGACAGGAGTCCATCAAAATCCTAAAGGAGAACACAGGCAGCAACCTCTTTGACCTCAGCCGAAGCAACTTCTTCCTAGAAACATCGCCAAAGGCAAGGGAAGCAAGGGCAAAAATGAAGTATTGGGACTTCATCAAGATAAAAAGCTTTTGCAAAGCAAAGGAAACAGTCAACAAAACCAAAAGACAACCGACAGAATGGGAGAAGATATTTGCAAATGACATATCAGATAAAGGGCTAGTATCCAAAATCTATAAAGAACTCATCAAACTCAACACCCAAAGAACAAATGATCCAATCAAGAAATGGGCAGAAGACATGAACAGACATTTTTCCAAAGAAGACATCCAAATGGCCAACAGACACATGAAAAAGTGCTCAATATCGCTCGGCATCAGGGAAATCCAAATCAAAACCTCAATGAGATACCACCTCACACCAGTCAGAATGGCTAAAATTAACAAGTCAGGAAATGACAGATGTTGGCGGGGATGCGGAGAAAGGGGAACCCTCCTATACTGTTGGTGGGAATGCAAGCTGGTGCAGCCACTCTGGAAAACTGTATGGAGGTTCCTCAAAAAGTTGAAAATAGAGCTACCATATGATCCAGCAATTGCACTACTGGGTATTTACCCCAAAGACACAAAAGTAGGGATCTGAAGGGGTACGTGCACCCCGATGTTTATAGCAGCAATGTCCACAATAGCCAAACTGTGGAAAGAGCCAAGATGTCCATCGACAGATGACTGGATAAAGAAGATGTGATATATATATATAATGGAATATTATGCAGCCATCAAAAGGAATGAGATCTTGCCATTTGCAACGACGTGGATGGAACTGGAGGGTATTGTGTTGAGTGAAATAAGTCAAACAGAGAAAGACATGTATCATATGATTTCACTGATATGAGGAATTCTTTTTTTTTTTTTAAGATTTTATTTATTTATTTGAGAGAGAGAGAATGAGAGAGAGCACATGAGAGGGGGGAGGGTCAGAGGGAGAAGCAGACTCCCTGCCGAGCAGGGAGCCCGATGCGGGACTCGATCCAGGGATTCCAGGATCATGACCTGAGCCGAAGGCAGTCGCTCAACCAACTGAGCCACCCAGGCGCCCGATATGAGGAATTCTTAATCGCAGGAAACAAATTGAGTGTTGTTGGAGTAGGGGGTGGGGTGGGAGGGATGGGGTGCCTGGGTGATAGACACTGGGGAGGGTATGTGCTCTGGTAAGCGCTGTGAATTGTGCAAGACTGTTGAATCTCAGATCTGTACCTCTGAAACAAATAATGCAATATATGTTAAGAAAAAAAAAAAAGAAGAAGAAGAAGGTAGCGGGAGGGGAAGAATGAGGCGGGGGAAATCGGAGGGGTAGACGAACCATGAGAGACGATGGACTCTGAAAAACAAACTGAGGGTTCTAGAGGGGAGGGGGGTGGGAGGATGGGTTAGCCTGGTGGTGGGTATTGAGGAGGGCACATTCTGCATGGAGCACTGGGTGTTGTGCACAAACAATGAATCATGGAACACTTCATCTAAAACTAATGATGTAATGTATGGGGATTAACATAAGAATAAAAAAAATTTAAAAAAAAAGAAAATAGAAAAACATAAACAAGAAAATAAAGTTCATTTTCCTTACTTAAAAATAATCACTATTAATATTCTGCTAACAGTTTAGATGTGTGATGTGTATACATATAAATACAATTTAAATCCTATAGTGTATATTTTTTTTGTAGCTGGACTTTTTCACAAAATATGTTATGAGAAGTTTTCCATACCATTAAATATTCTTCTAATGCATGATTTTAATGGCTTCAAAAGAGTCCATAATATTGGTTTACTATATTTTAACTAATAGTTCTATGTTGACATTAAACATAAATGTTTATGTATATCACTATTGCCTTAACATAAATTCAGAAAACAAATACATAAATCAAGTGGGAAAAACATTTTAAATTATATTGCCAAATTTATCTCCCCCAAAATTATGCCAGTTTATTTTCCTAGTAGAGGTAAATGGATGAGAGTATCCATTACCTTAAATTCTCTATCAGAGGTACTATTTTTTTAGTGCCAATGAGAGAGGGAATATTTTACTACATTTCTTTAATATCTTTAATTAAAAACTTATTTTAAGGTTAAATATGTTTTTAGATTTTCATTTTTTTAGGGGGGAAGAGATACATGAATTGCCTGTTCACCTCTGAAGCAAAGAATATTTGTTATCCCCTAATAACTCTCCTCTCTCTATTTCTTAGTAACAGAAGAGATAACTTTTAGTTGGGCACATAGCCCCTTGAAATAAAGACATTTCCCATTCTCCTTTGCAGCTAAGTGTAGCTATGTATTAACTCTAGGCTGATGAAATATAAGCAAAAATGATCTATGCTATTTTGGAGAAATGTCCTTAAAGGCAAAAGATATGCCCTCTTTTTCTCTTCATCATTCTTGATGGTTGAATCCAGATGTTATGGTTGGAGCTTCAGCAGCCATTTTGGACCATAAGGATAAGGGTCACACTATAGAGATGGGAGAGCAGAAAACTAGAGGGAGCCTAGGTTCCTAAGAACTTTACAGAAGTTCCATCTTGGAAGGTTGGTCTCCAGATTTTTATTTGAAAGAGTAAAACTGTATTTTTAAGCCATGATTGTGTTGCACTGTTTGTTTTATCAAGCTGTACTTAAACTTAATTGATGTAAGATTTTTTTCTCCATATTTTTTCTTACTGATTTCTTTTTCATCAACAATTTATTTTTTAGAGAGAGAGAGTGAACAAGCAGAGGGAGGGGCAGAGGGAGAGAGAGAATCTTGAAGTAGACTCCCTAGTGGGCTCCATTCCAGGACCCTGAGATCATGACCTGAGCCACAATCAGGAGTCAGCTGCTTAACCGACTGAGCCACCCAGGTGACCCTTCTTACTGATTTTTAAGTGCACTTTCTATTTTAAGAATAGTTACACTTTATCTGGTATATATGTTACAAATTTTTCAAGATTTTCATTTGCTCCTTAATTTTTTATGGAATTAGGAGGCAAAAATATAATTATTCTTAAACTTAATTACGACATAAATTACATTATACATTCAGAAAAATCATTTAACAGTGTTAGCTTAGAAATACAAATTCCAGGGGCGCCTGGGTGGCTCAGTCGGTTAAGGGTCTGCCTTTGGTTCAGGTCATGATACCCGAGGTCCTAGGATAGAGCCCCTGCATCTGGCTCCCTGCTCAGTAGGGAGTCTGCTTCTCCCCCTTCCTCTGCCCCTCCCACTACTTGTGCTCTGTGCTCTCTCTCCCTCTCAAAAAAAAAATAAAATCTTAAAAAAAAAGAAATACAAATTCCAGAGAAATATTTTGTCGCAAATATCATAAGGCAGCACTGAGAAGCATATGTTCATTTCTTACAGGTACACAATTAAATGGTTATGTTGCAGGCCAAAGTCATTTAGATGATTAGAAATTGTGTATATTTTTGAAGACTTAATAATTCATTCCTTACTAATGCAGAGAATTTCTGTTTGTAATTTGTGGGGCTCTGGGTTCAAAGCATTGCCCCAGAAGTCTTCACTGGGCCTTAAGGGAAGCTGAGCGGGCCAGCTCTGCCTGCTACTCCCAATGTGATTTATTCATTAGAGTTCTACAAAAGAGTCCCTGCTAGATGACTTCCCCCCCAGCCCCCCACACACACAGATAAGAAATCTAGAGTCACAATTTCCTACCAGATCATAAGCAGCCAGCATTTTTTTCTGCACATCTGGAATTGCCCCCAGAGGCTCCAGATAAGGAAAGTTGTCTTTCATCACAAGAGAGACTGAAGGAGTATTATCACTGGTGATGAGCCGAGAGGACAGGGTCAACAGGCACTGTTTCAGACTGACAATTGGAGGAAGTCCACACAGTTCCTTAATAGACACTATGGCATTCTGTGGGGAAGCAAACATGCAATTAGACTTCTGACCACATGACACATCACCCCCAGCACTTCTAGGTTTACACAAAAGTATATTCATTAAAAGTATACCCTCTGATACATATGTAATTTGGAGGAAACTGGATTATAATCAACCAGAAGTGTAACGTGCACCAAGAAAGCACACAGAACTAATTCACTATCATACTTCATCTTTGTCAATTTTTAGCAACTGCCACAAAAGTGCCATAAAGCAAAGCTGATTGTGAACCAAGGCTACACAGTGCTTTTCAAAGCAGAGCATTGGAATATTCACACAAATTAGCCTTGGCTGGTTGTGAATATCTTATTCGATTTGTATCATGATGATCATAAAAACATGCCAGTGATTATACATTGGAGTACATCTCCTTCGGGCTTTTCCCCTCAAGGTAGCAGGCTGCAATTACTCACAGATGTGCATTCGACTAACCATCAATTGTATTTCTCTGTCATCCCATCAGAAATGCACCTGACAGATGCACATACTAAAACAAATTTCATGTAGAGCTACATTTGTCCATGTTTTACAGGTTTTTAAAATTCATTTGAAATAGAAATTGTAACTATTTCATATTTTATTAACAGCGAGCAATACCTAACCTATTATATGTCAAATGAATTTAGCGACAATGATGGTATTTCATTTTTCTACTGATTAGGCTCCAAATAATCCTTAACCCAAAAGACTTTATGTTAAGGTGATATAAATTATCAGTATTACCTGGAAAAAAACTTTATCCATAACCAACTCTCCTTACGATGCATTTTAAAAACATAGTATGTGTAAAGGATATATTTCAAGAATTACACAGAAATAAATAAAATTGATTTCTAATATGTAAAGTAAGATGTAGAAATGATGTATAAGTAATCTAATACAGGGATTTATAATAGTTTTGAATTATGTCAGAAAAAGTCAGAAAATGGTAATATTTGGAACCTATTTTTAAAATAGTGGCTAAGGCAACCACTTCAAATAAAATGCTTACAATCTAAGTACTTCTGTGTGAATTATGTACCATACTGTTTTCCACCACTTCAGCTATTTAAAATTGATTTTAAGTCTTTTCTGGAATTTGTCTGTGAAATAATGTAAAAATAAAGTCTTCACCAAATGATGGGTTTGAGATTCAGCATCACATGACTAAAAACCATGAATGATCATGAGTTTTGGTAGTAGGCCATTCTGGATTTAAAGACCAACATTCCTATTTACTAACTGCAATATTTGGGAAATCACTTAACTTCTTCAAGCTTGTTTTCTATCTTGAAAGTAGGGATTGTTTGGTGAGAATTACCATTAAAATGTTAGCTAAAGGAGCAAATAAACTGCATTGAAAAATATTCCTCTCTTGTTTTGTTCTCAGACTGCTACTTTTTCTGCCAACCAACACCTCTTTGCACATTGCAGGAACTTAGTATTTGTTGTTTGGTTGTTTCTCAGTAACATTACCCTAGAATAGATATATTCTATAGTATTCAAGAAAGAAATTGGCAACCATCTATGATTTCAAGCATTAATGAAGGAAAAGAAACTAACATTGAATTTCCACATGCCAGGAGTGGGCGATTTACATACATTGTCATTTAATTCTGATAATAATTCTGTGATGTATTACTATTTTTCTTACCTTATGTGGAGAAAACTGATGATCAGAGATCTGAAATAACTTGCTTAAGATCACAAGGGGATAGAATTTAAGCCAGAATCCAGGTTCTTTCAATTAAACCACTTTTCTAAGAGAAGACCACATAGTTTTCAACAAGTTCAAGTGCTGACTATTGTTTGTTTAGTTGTGTTTGTTCTTGTGGGGAGTAATTTATTATTGTTGTTGTCATACACTTAAACAACTAAAATAACCTAATAAGCATTACATTTGTTTCTATGACTTCAAATTCCCTTTCATGTTCATATCTGCAAATATTTAACATATATACTTGTAATTAGTATAGTCTATATATATATTATATATATTGCACATACATATAATATTTTATATTCCATTTTGTTTACATTGTTTCATATACACAACCCCATATTGGTTATGTGGCAGGGATATTTAATGGATCTATAAAACATTTATATTAACTGGTTTAGTTCAGGCCAAATTTAACACAGCATTCGTTCACAATTAGGTACATAAAATATATCTGCTTTATCACAGACAACACTTACTTCAGTGGTACATGGGTTTATACAACTTTTCTGATAATTTTTTGAGGAATCAGATCACTAGTAAAACACAGTGTTCACCAGTAAGGGAGAGGTAGGAAGAAATAGGGGCAGGGAAGAAGAGCTTGGGATTTTTCCTACCTGCATATTTTCTCTCATATCTATGGCTTCTCGTAAGGGATGAACTGCTATTTTAAAGATGTCATCTATGGTCTTAAGGCCGATATTCCTGAGCATAGTATATTCTCGAACTTTCTTCCCCATTCTCACTGACAGGCTGCGCTTCTGTGCCTTTCCTCCTCCACTTCGATTAGTTATTGCTATGTGGACAAAAAGGGTTACATGCTCCATGATGTCACCCACAAAAGAGCGCAGGGGAACATGCCGATATCCAGGCTGCAAACATTCAAACGGTATCGTATATTGTCCTATAAACTCATCCCCAATGTAGTCATCGTCCAGAACGACAAAACGAATCATGGCCAGCTCAGGTAGGTTTACTTGAAACTCAAAAGTTTCATCAAAAATAGGGTTATCACTGTTCTGTTGGACAGTTTTAGTTCTTTGTTCTGAACAGTCTGCTGGAATTCCATGTATCTCTATACAAACGTAGGGATCTATGACATCTCCTTTGGCACAAGCTCCTTTGGGCTTTGGAAAATTCTGACCACTGATGATCTTGATATGAAGAACGAGAGGAGACACCCCAGGTACAATGCCCTTGGTGTTTGCACTGAAGTAAGAAACTTCATCTCGCATGATGGATGGCCTTAGAACATAACCACAGCCTCCGTTTTGAAGAAACCAGCCTGTGTGAAGGTCCATCATTGGACCTGGAGTCTGAAAATTCATTGCCACAATCTGACAGCCACAATTCCAAAAGTCCTGTGGATTCAAGTTACTGGAATCGATCCTCATGGCACTTGGATAGATTCTCGATAAGAATCTCTTATTATAATTTACAAAATCCTCTGGGTACTCATTTGCAATTCGGCTGGCCTCTGTTTCGCTAAATGAACACATTTCCCAATAGTTTTGGCTTTTCATAGACAGTTCAAAATCCCTATACTGAACAGACTTGCAGATGGATACCAAATCGGAGAGTTCCCTACACAGGAGGATTTGTTTCTGCTCGCCATTGTAATCTACCGACAGCCTTCGAGACATTTCCGCTTCTTCATCTTCATCTGTTACTTCTCCTTCCAAAACATCTGGGTCAGAAGGCAATGTCTTTCCTTTCACAATAATCATTCTTTTCAATTTTTCTGGTGATGGGAGGTAGGTTTCTGATGGCAAAGGTGCCTCAGTATAGAGCTTATCGCCAAAGATCTTCTTCATCTGTTGAGCCATTATCTTTTGCTGTGGTAGGGAGCAGTGATTTCCCAGGCAAAGAATGAGTGGGTATTCGGAAGCAACGAAGGCAAATTTATTTATCACCTCTATGACACTTCGAAAGGAAAGATGGGTCGTCACATTATTTCGATTACAAAGGATCGGCTCATTGTCTGAACCATCATTAACATCAAGTTCAATGCTTCGACAGCCCATTTTCAAAGCTCTAACATACCCATTAATATCAGCCGGCCCCCTGAACTGGTCTTCTATGAGATAGGTGTTGTGCGAAGCATTGATATAGTAGTGAGATAGTGGCTGGGTCATATCTTGGGCAACCTTTTTTTGCTCAGGATCAAAAATGTCACATTCTGGTGACAACAGATACTGGGTAAAGCCATCAATTGCAAGAAACCCTTTTTGACGACCCTCTTCAGAAAGTTCATATCTCCGAATAATGTCTAAGCACATATCCTCAGTAATATGGGTGACTCCTTGCTCAGCTTCTAAAAAGAGCATGAGATCATTGGCATCCAAATATTCTTTGTTCTTAGATATCTGGACCAGTAAGAAATATACTTCTGGCCTGGTGCAAAGTTCACAAAAAGCCTCACAAAATTCCTCTTCCGTCACTCGGGTGGTTAGTTTTTCTTTGCTCTTCTGGATTTCTTTAAACTTTAATCTGATCTTGGATTCCTTCAAGGTAGGGTTGAGTTGTTTTATCAACTCCACAGAGGTGTCTTCCAACATAATCCCATTCCCATCAACATCTGCCGCTTCAAACACTGTTTTCAACCACATGAACCTTGGTGTGTTCTGGTTGCCCTCCATAAAGTCAAGGGGTTGCTTACTTCGAGAAACCAGGTACCGTAAACCTGACACCCAGATATTTGCTACGTCTGCTGAATTGGCAACTAGGTCCAGAGACTCATAGTTTTCCCCATGGAGTATAGAAAAGGCACAGTCCTCACAAATCTGGTCAGCGAGGCCATTGTTTCTAAATGTTTCTGTGTTCTTCCCCAGTCTGATCTCTTTTATAGCAGAAATGTCAAGCTTAGCTTTCTCAAGGTCTTTCTTGGAAGGTTCCCAGCGAAGAGCTTGGAGGTCTGTGTCCAGAGTGAAAAAACGGTTATAAATACGAGAATTTGGCCGGACCTTCTTTAATTCGCAGCCAGCTTGCATGAAGCTGATGCAGTCACTCGCACTGCTAATTTTCTTTTCCGATGGCATGCTGCTGAAAGACACTGTTTTCTTTCTTCCACCACATTTTTGGTTTGAAGGATCCTGTAAAGTAATTTGAAAATAATGAATCAATTTTCCTTAGAAAAAAGACAAATTCAGTAACACTCTATGAACTCCTCAGGCTCCACTCAGATATTATAATTATTTAGACCTAGAAGCTAGCTTAAAATACACATTTTCACTGTTCCAGAAAAAGAAGAATTGCTGAGAAAATTGATATTATTAGGTTCAGAAAAAAAAACTTATTTTTCAAATGCCTGGTGTTCTTTGAAATAAAATAAACTATTAAGTTAACTACGAATCACTCATTTGTTCATTAAAGCAGATTTCCTAAGAACCTCTACATGTTGGTACTTTAACAACCTAGCTCAAATCCCTACAGATATGTGAAAGAAATAATTCTGGATTTCTTTAAAAAGTTTTCCTCATTAAAAAAAAAAAGTTTTCCTCATTTATACTAAGCAACAGTTTAAGTTTTAAACTTAAAACTAGTCCAAATAAAAGATTTTTGCGCCTTCATATGCTTTTCATCAAAAAGGACTGGAAATAGACAATGGACAGAATGGGAGACGATATTTGCAAATGACATAACAGATAAAAGGCTAGTATCTAAAAATCTATAAAGAACTTATCAAATCAACACCCAAAGAACAAATAATCCAATCCAGAAATGGGCAGAAGACATGAACAGACATTTTTCCAAAGAAGACATCCAAATGGCCAACAGACACATGAAAAAGTGCTCAACATCGCTTGGCATCAGGGAAATCCAAATCAAAACCTCAATGAGATACCACCTCACACCAGTCAGAATGGCTAAAATTAACAAGTCAGGAAACGACAGATGTTGGGGAGGATGCAGAAAAAGGGGAACCCTCCTACTGTTGGTGGGAATGCAAGCTGGTGCAGCCACTCTGTAAAACAGTATGGAAGTTCCTCAAAAAGTTGAAAATAGAGCTACCCTACAACTCAGCAATTGCACTACTGGGTATTTACCCCAAAGATACAAATGTAGTGATCCAAAGGGGCATGTGCACCCCAATGTTTATAGCAGCAATGTCCACAATGGCAAAACTATGGAAAGAGCCTAGATGTCCATCAACAGATGAATGGATAAAGAAGATGTGGTATAGGGGCGCCTGGGTGACTCAGTCGTTAAGCATCTGCCTTCGACTCAGGTCGTGATCCCAGGGTCCTGGGATCGAGCCCTGCATCGGGCTCCCTGCTCGGCGGGAAGCCTGCTTCTCCCTCTCCCACTCCCCCTGCTTGTGTTCCCTCTCTCACTGTGTCTCTCTCTGTCAAATAAATAAAATCTTTAAAAAAAAAAAAGAAGTGGTATAGGGCGCCTGGGTGGCTCAGTGGGTTAAGCGACTGCCTTCGGCTCAGGTCATGATCCTGGAGTCCCGGGATCAAGTCCCACATCGGGCTCCCTGCTCGGCGGGGGGTCTGCTTCTCCCTCTGACCCTCTTCCCTCTCATGCTCTCTGTCTCTCATTCTCTCTCTCTCAAATAAATAAAATCTTAAAAAAAAAAAAGATGTGGTATATATATACAATGAAATATTATACAGCCATCAAAAAAATGAAATCTTGCCATTTGCAACAACGTGGATGGAACTAGAGGGTATTATGCTAAGCAAAATAAGTCAATCAGAGAAAGACAAGTATCATATGATCTCACTGATAGAAGGAATTTCAGAAACAAGGCAGAGGATCATAGGGGAAGGGAGGGAAAAATGAAACAAGGCAAAACCAGAGAGGGAGACAAACCATAAGAGACTCTTAATCTCAGGAAACAAACTGAGGGTTGCTGGAGTGGAGGGGGGTGGGAGGAATGGGGTGGCTGGGTGATGGACACTGGGGATGGTATGTGCTATGGTGAGTGCTGTGAATTGTGTAAGACTGATGAATCACAGACCTGTACCCCTGAAACAAATAATATATTATATGTTAATAAAAAAAAATTTTTTTTTAAAAGGACTGACAATAAAACTTAACTAAAAGTCACTTTTTTTCCTCAGACTATTTTGAAGAATGTAAGTGTCTTGAAAGTCAGACTGAGAGCTAACAATAGACAAATGACTCTAACTAGAGCAAATTTTCAGACTAAGGTAAACAGTTTGGATGAACTTTATGAGAACCAATACCTGCATTTCGGTATAATGCTATTAGCAGCCACAGCATAGAACCAAACAGAAATCTGAATGGTTCCACTAACTTTTAATGTTCTCCCAATGTAAATTACATTTCCAAGCTGTCTGCCATAGAATTTCACAGAGAACACTTGCACCTCGCCTTTTCCCCCTCTCTTTAAGTGTCATTGGATCTTACTCCCAAAGAATCCCTATGTCCTCAGCCCACTTCGCCCTTTGCTGAACAACAGTGTTGACAGGGCATTAGACCTTCTCTGTTCAGATTAGTGTGCCTTAAGCAGGTTAATTATTCCTTGTGACTATTTCCTTCTTGGGTGTATCTAGGCCTTCTCACATATTGTCTTTCTCAAATTACAGGTCTGGTCCTTATATTCATAAGATAATAGATGTCATCTTAGTCCCAAACTCTCCGCTATGTCGATCACTCCTAATTCATTTACACTGAACATCTGACCAATGCCACTTAAAACTGGATTTTTTTTATACTTCCTTCTGTTCAGACCATAGATTAAAGTTAATAATGCTCGCAACCAGATCATCGACTCAGATAATTCTCCCAGGAACAAATTTCCCAAACACACCTTAAGGCATGTTTACGGTGCCTGATTTTATAAGCGTATCAAAGAGGCAGCAAAGTGTGGAATGCAAAAGGCAATGTCCTTATGCAAAACTAACTAGTCTCAAGCTGTGATTATTCCGTTCAGTAGATCTATGACCTTGGGTAAGTCACTTAGCCTCTCTGAATCTTAATTTCTGCTTTTCAATAGGAATCAATAATTCTTTTATATAATAGTGTTGCTGAGAGACTCAAAAGAAAAAGTGTTTGTGAATATTCTTTGTAAACTGTAAGTGCTTATAAGGTTACTCTTTTTGAAAGAAGTACATTTCTTCATACACCTGGTCACTGCAGGACCTGACCAGGATATTGGGGGTTATCAAGAAGTTGATTCATTCTTGACCTCTGAGCATTTAAGACAAATCTTCAGCGATAAACAGAAAATATTTTAAAACAGACACATGATATTGCTATTTTAAGCCCTGAGAAGTATGACCAAAGTAGTCTGGGTTGTCTCCTTCACTGCCATTCTTTTAAAACAGGGTAGAACGTCTCCCCTAAGGCCTTATTTAATTGTGATCCTGCCTATAAGAGCCTCCTTATCCTGTGATTCAGGAAAAGGCAGGATGATTTATTATTCAATTGACTAAAACCTTGCCCGTGAAAAGAAAACAAAATTTGCTTTAGTTATGGAATGTTGGTGGGATGATTCATTAACTCAAATATATATCTGATCTTCAAGTGACAAAGATATATATTACCCAATTTACAGAATAAAAAAGAATTCTGTATAGATTACAGAATATTGCTTCTTGATGCCCTGGCATTTAACAATTTAGCTCTTACTTTTCCAGAGAGTTGTTATTTTTAATTATCCCATAGTAGTCAATTTCCTCATCCTTAAGTTAAAAAACAAGTATAAATCTTCAGCTGTTTATATGCAGTTGCACTATTAGAACACATTGAAATTCATCACAACCCACATGCTCAAAAATCTCAGATGTATGTGTGTATTTTTCCACACCATGAAGGCAGGCACCTAATGGCACTGCTGAAAAAAGGTTACTCTACCAAGTAAAATAAAGAGGGAAACTGTGAATTGTGATAGTATACTAGACTGTGACTCAGCTTTTAAAGCTACCATTTGACTAGGCTTTTAAACTAATGAGACCTTTCACCAAAAAAATTATTTTTATATAAATCAGATCATCTTCTAAGAAAGATTATAGTCAACAGAATTATAAAACCTCTAATAGTTGCTAACAAACCTTAAGTGGGAAATTAGTGTTGCTGTAAATGCATGTATGTAGTTCCTGTGCCCGACGTTTGGTACCACACCAACCTTCACAGTCTTAACGCTTCACTCTTGACTTGAACCACTGTTCACAAGAACAAAAGTACTGTTATCAGAAGAGCTTTCTCTTACAAGCCTCTCTTCTCTGTGGTGGTATCTCCTTAAATCAAGACTTTCTCTCCTAGTAAGATAAGCCTTCAAGACATAAATGTTTTCTATCTAGCCTAGGAAAGAATTGACCTGCTCCAAAATGCTTATTTCCTGTTTTGACCTCTAATTCCCACATGATTACAAAACTTATCCCAAAATGCCTTAAAACATGGAACCAGCAGAAAAGATACACTCTTAGGTTTCAACTCACAAAGGACAAACTCCAAAATTATTACAAGCCCCCAAATGAGCCAAAAACTGGCAAAAACACATGTGAACAAATAATTAGCTTGTCTGCTACTGACTAGAGTCAAGATTATTTCTATTCAAAATATGCTGGAAAAGTTTCAGGACTCCAATATTTCTGTTTGTTTTCAATGGTCATGCTATGCATTAGCTCTGAAAAGCTGAGAGGGAAAGGTGGGTGGGATTGTATTGAGTGGACAAGGAAGATGAACAATTCCAAATCTCCTCCTGAGCTTCATCACCACCATGGCTTCTTTGCCGAGCCCATAGCCCCACATCTGTGTTTCCCTCAAGAAGATCTTGGCAGATTGGTGGTGGAGGAGGGGGACTGTTCAGGTAAACAGACAGGAGATATCCCCAAATGAAAAAAATTGAAGTGTTGGTAATAGATCTTCCTGTTGATAAATACAAAAAATATCTGATGATGGAATGAGGGAAAATCCACTGCAGTTATCTATATAATGGAAAGACAGGTGCTTTTGGCACTTTCCAAGAGAAACCAAAGTTTGTTGTCGGTTCAGGTGTGCTCTTGTCATCTTCCAGCTCACTAGATAATTGAATTGACTCCTATAGTCATAAGGTCATTATTATAAGGAGATTATCATAAAGTATGAGGACTTTCCATTTATTTTTTTAAAAGATATT